CTTTTAACTAAAGTATTATTTTACAATTATTTTTTCATTTATTTTCTACTTTCTTTTTATAACCTATTATCTCAAATCTTGCCTCTGGTACCAATCTCTGTTGTGAGTTGGGGGAATTCTTTTGCTATAAAATATAGTAATTAAAAAAGAAAGTTACAACTTGAAGGGTATACAAGACCCAATAAGGGGAAGGAAATTTGTTTAAAAGCAAACCTTCAGGGGCGCCTGGATGGGTTAAGTCTCTGCCTTCAGCTCAGGTCATGATCTCAGGGTCCTGAGATGGAGCCCCACATTGGGCTCTCTGCTCAGCGGGGAGCCTGCTTCCCCCTCTTTCTCTGCCTGCCTCTCTGCCCACTTGTGATCGCTCTCTGTCAAATAAATAAATAAAATCTTTAAAAAAATAAAAATAAAAACAAACCATCCACATTTCTATGTAGCCAGGATAGAAAGATGATGTAACAAAATTTAAGAAATTGTCTAACTAGTAGAAGAATCTCCAGATTTCTCCCTTTCATCTTCGTGAAAGTAAAAATAAAACTTTAGAATGAGACATTTCAAGTGCTCTCTGCGTGTGTAAATACACACTCACTCTAAAGGTTGCTGACACGCCGGCAGAACATAATTCTTGTGAGGAAAGTGGCCACCTTTGTTTTTTTAAACCCACGTTCAGGGATTGTCCATGGGAGCGGAGGGAAAGCCCGTGGCTCCCCGGCCCTCCCCGGCTCTCCCAGTGGGGTTCTGAAGCCTGAGCTGACTCCTCCCGCTCCCTGGCAGAGGGCTGAGGGCAGTGGGAGAGGAGCTCTAAGCTATAAAAAAACGTTCGAGTTTTATTTCCTTCTAAGGCGTCCTGAGTCAGTGGGTGCTCCAGCCCCCAGTGCCCAGGGAAGTTCAGCTCAAATCGGAAATGTGTGTGTGTCTGTGTTTCCTGAGCCAAAGCTGCTGAAAACCCAGAGGACGTTGCCACTTGGACTGAATCTCCACACGCAGAGTGGGAGCTTCCTATTTCTGTCCTGGGAGGAGGATGGAAGTCACTTAATGATCAGTTTCTCTGACCCACGTTCCAGTATTACATCACAGTCTAACAGCGAGCTCACCCTCCGCTCCGCTCCCCGCACGGAGCTGCTGACACTTTAAAAATCCCATTTGTCACCTCAAAGCATACAGCACTCCCACGCTATTTTGCCTCCCACCCTTGAGGCTGCAATTTTTTTTTTTTTTTAGGTTTTATTTTTCATTTATTTGAGAGAGAGCACGCGCGAGAGAGCACAAGCAGGGGGAGGGGCAGAGGGAGAGGGAGAAGCAGACTCCCTGATGAGAGGGGAGCTGATGCGGGGCTGGATCCCAAGACCCCCGGGATCACAAGCAAGCTGAGGGCAGACCCTTAAGCAACTGATCTCCCCCGGCCCCAGGCACCCCAGGCCACAGTTTCAACTTTAACAAGTGATGCTAAGCTGGGTTGGTCAGAATCCCAGAAAGCCACTTAGTCCAATAATCTTATTTTACCTGGGAAACTGAGGCCCAGAGAAGCAAAGTGTCTGCCCATAGCTACAGAGGAACAAAACCAAAACTAAGACCCAGGCAAAAAAAAAAAAAAATGTCAGGGCAGAGGGTTCTGTCCCCAAGGCAGTATCCACATCCTCTAATTCAGCTCCTGTATGCAGGAGGAGCCAAATGTTTCCTGCAAGTGGGGCTCAAGCCTTCTGACCAAAGCAGCAGCTCTCCCTGTCATCTTGCCCCTTCTTTTCAGCCCTTTTGCTGCTTTTGTGTAGAAGGAAACAAGCAAGGTAGCACGGAGATCCTTCTGGAAACAGAGGTAGCCTTTCTGGCTGCAGAACTTTGTCTAGGATCAGGGTGTGGACCAGGACTGATCAAGGGAAAGGTTTCAACCCCAGAGCTGGAAAGTTGCCTCCCGCGTCCTTTCCTTAGCCCCTCTGCTCTTGACACAGGGAGAGATACGTGCTTATGTAATTAAAAATTCCCATCCAATTTTTTAAAGTGTATTTCTCCATGCCATTCCTGAAAACCCTTGGGATTAACAACGAGGTGCATCGTTGCATCGTGTTTTCCCACGTAGAGCAGACCTGGATATGGTAATAGGCCACAAGATCGTGTTCCAGTGTCGGCTATGAACACCTGAACCTGAACTGAAAACTAGAGCAAAGCTGTCCCGGGGTGTGTCCGTGGGGTTTCTGGCCTCTCGCGCTTACCTACTGTCCTAGAGCCTGGGTGGAATTACATCCGGGGACAGGTGTACCTTGTTCATCAGGCAGAAGGGACCAGGGGATACACAGAGCTAAAAACCTACACATTCACAGTTAGAGATGAAAGGCTGCAGAAATGTTTATTGAATACAGTGCCAGGTTTATAAATAAAACTTATTTACAATTTCCATAGAGTTGGTCCCCCATCAGAGAGGTGGTTAAATCTCCAAACAGTTTATCTCAAGATTTACAGAAAACGTTCAAGTACATCTCCTTGTCCAATTGCCACGGTGAAGGGTAACTTCTGTTACCAGAACTACCGCCATCTTTGCTACGGACGTGGTTTAAGGAACCTCGCAAGAGCTGGAGAAAGACCACACGCTCCACCCGCGCCGCTACCTTCTTACTCCAAGAGATCTGGACAGCGAAGGATTTCTGTCTCCTACAAGACAACCTCGAGGGATTGGAAAGAAAGGAAAATACTAACTTCCAGCTGAAGGGGATAGGTTAAGACACGTTCGTGGAAACTCGTCACTGCCGAAAGGGGGAATGTAGTTTGGATATATAATAATTAATTTCAATGTTTAAAATTAATTGAGTGAACCAAAGAGCAGACTTTTGACCAAATTTACATTCTTTGTTGAGGAAGAAGTTCCCAGTATGCTGTGGGGCTGGTAATACGCGGCTACGCTGACGGGCCACAGCGGCACTCGGGAGGCCTACTGGACGGCCACTCGTCACAACACAGGTTACAGGTAGGAGTCAGACATGCATTTATAAAGAGAATATAAAAATATGTACAGTAGCTAATTTTCAATGTGTTTTAAGTTGCCGAAAGACACCAATTGAAGTGTGCAAAAATTCATTTGTCTAAAAATCAGAAAAAGCCTTTCCTGGCAAGAGTGCGTCAAGAGCCCATCTGAAACATCGAGATGCATTTGCCTCGCTCAACACCTACCCCCGACAGATGGAGAACAAAACTATGAAAGTGCTTGCCAAGGACTCAGCAGTTTCTAACGGCAAGTCTCAGGCTCAAGCGGGATGCCAGTTAAACTAGTCACTTTATATATATAAATATATGTATATATTTATAGAGCAGTTAGAAGTAAGGGGCAAGAGTTTACAGGGAGGTGCTAACCAACTTTAAAGGGTACGGACCCAACACCCGGCTATTTCCTCTCACAAATGCATGCTGCAGCCTGCAAACACCCGATCTGGGCTGGTCTTCCCCTCAAAAGCCAGAGGGAAAACAGCTCCAGGGACCGGGCTGCCCCTGCACCAAGTTGGGACTCAGCACTCCCCAGGGGGGTGGGGTGGGGGGGGAAGGCTTCGCTTCCCATACAGGATGCTGGCCATGTTAAGAATCTGGTTTTTTCAAAAGCAGTCTTTTCGGAAGGACTGTGGGACCACAAAAATGGAGCCCACCCGTCTTCTAGAAAGACTTGACAGAAGAGTTAAGACAGAAGGCAAAGTTTTAAAAAGTTAAATTACCCCCAACTCTCTTTGAAACTACCAAGAAGCCATCGGACACAGGCCTGAGATGGGTCAACATATGGCCTCCCAAAAACAAACATCCAGGAACCCCTGGTGCTCCCTCTCTCACCTGAAGAACCTCCAAGGTGCTCCTTCCAGATTCGGGGAATTTGACAAGTCCCCTCCAGCTCCGTGTCTCCTCTACAACCACCCAGTCTAAGGACCAACGGCAGAAGTAGACGGGCGGGCTCCTCTCCACTGCTCTGACCTGTCCCTCTGGCAGGAAATCTAACAAGCGGCAAAACGCCAGAAAGACAGGGAGTAGGAGAGGGAGAAGCCAAGGGTCTCTAAAAATCAGCCCCAAACGCACCCATCTGGCTGCCAAGAGCTTCTCGCTGCCTTGGAAGCAGCCTGCCGTGGTTCCCTGGCAAATTAAAACCTCCCACACTCAAAAACCCAACTCTCCTTCCTGGGGAGACACCAAATGCACATCCAGCCTACATTTCAGAAAAGAGTTCTGCACTAGACGCAATATTCCTTTAAAGGGGTTTTTAAAGCACACCAGTCCCACTGCAAAGACCAGTACCAGCATCTCAGTTTTGGTTACAGGTTTATAATTAGACACAAAATCCCCTCCAGGCTCGAGTTTTACTTTCAAGCTGGAGGCTAGTGTTAGTTCTGCTTGGGGGTGGGGGGTGGGGGTGGGGAGGGGAGGCAGGGAGGAAGCTAAGTCAACTTTGGAAGAAGAAAAAAAAAAGGAAAAGGAGGCTGAGGGAAGTCATCATCATAAATTAAAAATCATGACTCAAAGGTGACCGGTAGTGTCTTTTAGGCAGAAAGACTGGCTTAGAAGGGACTACTGCTTCTACCACACAGCAAGGATTAAATTACAGACAGACACACTAAATCATGTCTCTTTGCACAGATGGTCTCAAGTAGTTACATAAAACAGGTAATCAGCAGCACGATTTGAGAAGAACCCCTAAGTACATGCTTGAGAAAAAGTGTTTTTTTTTCCTTCATTAAAGAGCGCCACTGCCTGAATTATCATTAAGTTAAACAGGGTTCACTCCCCCCCCCACCCCCCAGTGAAAATACAAGTAGACCTACATGTCCATAGATAGGATGAAGCAATTGCTATCTGCCTGGTTTTAGGCAAGGTCTCAGGCTCAGAGGTTGGTGCTGGGATATCAGGAGGGAGGGAGGGAGGGAGGGCGGGAGGGTAAGAAGCCCAATGCTGGGCTGCGGGCTTTTAAAGGTACTGACCTCTCCTCCAACCGCCTTGTCCCCGTTGAGATCTCAGCTTTACAAAGCATTTAACACCACTTTAAGTTAATGGTCTTTTTTTATTGGAAAAAAAAAAAAAAAGACTAGCATTTACAACTTGGAATGGACGTAAATTGTAATTCCTTGATCAGCAATGTTGATGCCTGTGCTGAAGTCCACAGCCCCAGCCTACTCTGCTGGCTCCAAGTCATGGTTCAGGAGGTTTTAAAAACAGAGAGTCCAAAGATGCTCCCTTGGTAAAGGTTTTTTGTTGTTGTTTAATTTGTGTGAATGGTGACAGCCTGACACCCATGTCACTCCAGGACAACGCGGACAACGCTAAACCAACATGTGTGGCATGCCACCCAGACGAGTGTCATGGTCACCAAGGGTGGGGGCACCCAGAAGTACGAGAGGGCCGTCCTGCTAAGTGGGGCTACGTATAGACAGCTTATCCTTCACCCATTTCTCTGCACAGCATCCTGAGGTAAACCAATTTAAAATGTTTGTTTTCAGTAAACCAGCTATGACAATTTATACTAACAAATTGAACTAGAACCCATTTGAAGAAGTTTTAAATTTTTTTCATTTTTCGTTTTTAATACAAATGCCTGACTGTGCTCAATTGTCAAGCTGCATGCATGAAAAACTGGCCAGCCCAGTGTATTAATCATGAGCAAATGGAACTGCGAGGAGTCCACTAGGTGCTTCCTTATCATTAAGGTAGGACAAGTATTTATGTCGTAAAACTGATGTGTAGCTTGATCTTTAGGGGACAGGACCACCAACCAATACATGCAGATTTTGTGTGTGTGGACAGAAGGTACTTTTGACATTCAGTTTTGCTATATAGAAACAGAATGAGTAAATGAACTTTTTTTTTTTTTTGCAAGAGGTAAGTAAAAGATTCAATTTGATTCTTCTAGAAGGGGGGGAAAGGAGTTGAAAGTAGGCCTTCATTTTGCAGTCATCATCTGTACGAATTCTGAAAAGACAAACAATCATAACTTGTGGTTATCTTCAAAAGCAGTTTGAATGAACACAACATCTCTACTCCGCATAAAGAAAATAAATAAAGATCAGGGTCTCGTGAAGCAGTTAACTCATTTTAGATACCATAGGGAGGACTATTCAAAACTAAGCTGAAGAGACTAATGCAGTGTTTTTACCTTCATAGTTGACTTGCCCATCTCCATCAATATCTGCTTCTCTGATCATTTCATCTACTTCTTCATCTGTTAGTTTCTCCCCTAAGTTGGTCATGACATGACGAAGCTCTGCCGCACTGATGTAACCGTTGCCATCCTGTGAACATTAAGCAGGTGCTACTGAGGGCGGTGGAGAGGGCTTCCCAACGCGCACAGGCCACCCAGCTCCGGCTCCCCCACCAAGCCACCAAGCACGTGCCCTCAGCCAGCACCGAAATGCAGGGGCTTGGAAAACGCTAAGGAACCGAAAGCAGCAATCAAGAAGCTTGGTTCAAAATTCCCCACTGCTTATCATTATGCTCACCCTCGCCTAATTTAAGGCTGCTGCAGCTAAGTCGGCTTATTTCAAAGCAAGATCACCACAGAGGCCCAGGCAATTCAGTGTAAGTGTTCTAAGTATTTCAGAAACCGTGGCAAAGCAGCAGGCTGCAACTCAGAGGCAGGATTACCTTGTCAAAGACTCGGAATGCCTCGCGAATTTCTTCTTCGCTGTCTGTATCTTTCATTTTTCTAGCCATCATAGTCAAGAATTCCGGGAAGTCAATGGTGCCATTACCTCAAATCAGAAAACAAAAGCTCACATAAAATAAATGTGCCGGCAATGCTCCCCAGGAACAATGTTCCGCAGGGGAACATCTTCAAAGCACAGCAAAGAAGGGTTAAGACTCACTCGGACAAACCGGTTGAGTTAATTTTACGAGGTTAAACCATGTGTAAGTCTCAACTGTTCAAATACTTCGCAGGGATTTCACATGACTCATGTAATTCAAACTAGTCATCAGCGCTCAGGAGAGCACTTCAGGATGCAAAGGAAACTGCACGTGGAGGTTCCTGACCACTAAAGGCGGTTGTGCAGTTCAAGAGAAGGCCTACAGCACCCTTCCATTCCTGCAGGAAGCCCTCGAGACAACACCCCCACCCCACCCTGACCCCAGGCTGAGGATAAGCCCCTGGCCCTACCTCTGCCTTGGTCCGTGACCCTGGTCAAGGCTCAGAACTGGCGTGCCAGTACAACAGAATGTTTTATGGAAGGAAAGGATTATGGAAGGGGGCAAAAACAGACTTTCTTATACCACGGACCATAAATTATCACAGTCTTCTCACAGAAGGCGTTTCCTGCCCACATTCTGATAAGTCACCTAATCATTTTTTTCTCTAGCTCAGTATCTTTGCTTTCCCAGTAAGGGCAAGGCTCGGAAGTGTTTTCATAGCTCAGACCACTACCACTTAGGTAACTGGGTCGGAACAGCCTGTTCTACGGCCAGTATTCTAAATAACTTCCTCTCTAAAACTAAGAGTTGGCGAGCACCCACAAAGACAAAGACAATTAACAGTATAACTTAAATTAAACGGAAACAAAATTAAATGGGAAAAAGCCCTGGGTTAAAATACTCATTTTCATCAGTACCTTTATATCAAAGTGATTCAGAAATTCCTTTGGAGTCCAAAATTTTAAAGCATTATGATATTCACACAAGACAAAGTAAATTATTTGAAGTGCTATCTCATAACCACGCAGAGAAGACATCCTTGGGCAATACGTTTATTCATTACTAGATTCTGTAGCCTAAAACAGTTTCTCCTTCCTTGCGCCATACAATCTAAGGGCCCAATACACTTTGCCAGTCCCTAAGCACCATTTCCCAGGGTTCCCATAAAACAGGGGGTGGCCACCCCATGTTCCCAGATGGCCAATCATCTTAGCAGTCAACCAAGAGGGAATTCTGAACTACCCCTTTTCCAGAACATTGAGAGGGACAAAAACTCTTTTCAAAGTAGCTTGAATGGGCTGAAACCACTTGTTAAAGAGCTCACCCAGCTTCTCAATGTGCATGACCAGACAAATTTAATTCTACTTTATCACTTTATGATACCACATTTGTTTAAATGGTTACTCTCAAGCCAATCGTCTAGAAAATAGTCTAGATCCAAACTTTTTCTTAGCTCATTTTTAAAAATTTCCTATGTTCTACGATGTTATATATTATCTGCATGTACATGGTTTCCAAAAGGACAGCTTTTTGAGAAGGAAATGCTCGAAAACTGCTTCCTGAGAGAAGTAAGCAGTGGAGAGTCTACTGTCCACTGTTCTAGAGTCCAGAAGAATCGGTGACCAATTGGTGACCCCATTACAAGGGGTACTGCTTATTCCTTCTTGCTCTGCACTTTACTCATCTTCCCCTTCTGTTAGGTTCTATAATCTACTCCCTATAGCCTTCGAGCACTCCATGTCCAAGCTTTATACGACCCTCAAAATTCTCTGTAATAAACACATCTACAACTCATGCTGTACTCAACTTGACACTAAAGTCTAAGGGTCTCTCCTTCCTCTTCACTTCCCACTCCTCTTGGAGACAGTCAGCTTTTAGAAAAGGTCTATGGCTTTTTATTTTTACTTCCCCAAAGGACTCAGTGGAGACTCATGGGCCAGTTGATAAAAAAGACTGAGCTGTAGGTCACGGCAAGTAGAAAAGAACAATATGCCGATCTGATCCAGGAAACATTCTAGACAGTGAGCACAGCCAAAGGCGGGCCCATAATCTTCTATTTTCATTGTCAGCAGCCGTCAGGCAACCACTGAAAGGATCGCTGCACATTTGCTTTGCTCTGGGGACCTGAAAGACAATCTTGTGACATGTCTGAACTTGAATTACACAACACTGGCTCTCATTCATAGGTCTGGGCCCTCACCGTCAGCATCCACCTCGTTGATCATATCCTGCAATTCAGCTTCTGTTGGGTTCTGACCCAGTGACCTCATGACAGTTCCCAGTTCCTTTGTTGTGATGGTGCCGTCGCCATCTTTGTCAAATAGGGAGAAAGCTTCCTTGAACTCTGAAAACAGAAGTTTACCCTTTAGAATGAATGTCTTTACCCAACCCGGCCACAGCACACACTTCCCTGGGGCTTGCCAAAGCAAACCGTCCAAGTCTGCAACTTATCACAAATTGCCTCGTCGTTATCTCCTGAAATAAAGACCACAACAGTCCTATTGGACCGGCCTTCATTCCGTAGTCCATAAAGCAGACACTGCTCCTGGTAACTGGTTCCATAAAACCACACAGTACTCTCACATTTTTAAAGAAAACTAAACTTAAAACACACTTAAATTAGTCCTCAGTCCAATCTGACAAGTGAAGATTGGTCCCCGTGTTCCCCTAAGGCCCCTTCCAGTTCAACTGCTTCAGCCATAGGAACGCCTTTCACAGTAACATGAAGGGGTTATTAGAAATGCACCCTCCCAGGGAACCAGAGTGTTCTCTCTATATGGCACTTATTTCAAAGGCATCCCTGGTTTCCTAAAGAGAAATCATCTCAGCAGAGTCCTCCGAGGAATACTCAAAGCTAGAATCTAAACTGACTTCCCTTTCCAATTATTATAGTAGAACTAACCCTCATTTCCACCCATTCCCATGTATTTTCAAAGAGCAAGCACGAGCCTTCATGGTGAATTCCGAAAAGACCTGTGGCATTAAGACTACCACTGAACCACACCGTGAGCGGCAGGCTCCCGGCACTCCCGCCACATGCAAAGCCGTGACCGGCATGAGCCAGTCAAACACACCAGAGTGCAACAAGGATTCCCAGCTCCACTTCCACATGGCCTCTGACACGCTGGCAAGGAACGAACCCCTGACCTAAATATTTCTGCTTCTTGCTTCCATTTAAATAAATTATTAAGAAACTGCTCAAATTATAGTGGGGTGGGGGTGGGAGGGAAGGGTCAGAGAAATTATCTGAAAGGAGTCGTGCCTCGTTCTGGCCTAAGGGGACCCCCTGAAGTCATCGACTTACCAGCGATCTGTTCTTCGGTCAGCTGATCAGCCTACGTAAAGAAAGAAGAGGTATACCTCAGTGCACAAGCGCCGATGGAGAGCAGCAGAGTTTTCTCAATTACACTTCTGATACTGACCTTTCGAAAATCACTCTTAAAAAAAAAAAAAAGCCAACCACGGGAAACTGCTAGCCATTAAATGAAAACAATGAGAATAAAGGGAACACTTTATGCTATTTGAAAAAACAAAGGATGACAAAGAAGTGACATTTCACTTCACGTTTTCTTTGCTGAGCCGATGGCTAATGCACTCTGAGGTCTAACGAGGAAGGGTCAGTTCATAATTTAAAAAATGGCACCTCTAGTGGCAAAAGGCCCCACCACACCAGAGGCAGCGGCCAGCTCAGAGAAAGAAGAGCGCCACCTACTGCGCCAGGGACACCGCAGTCCCCCCTTCCATCGGAGGATGCCAGCCTGACGGCTGCTGTCACCACCGCCAGGATCGCGGCCAGGGGCAGGCTTTTAGCACACCTTGCGCATTGCTGCGGGCGCTCCAAAATCTCCAAACAGGCGTTACATAATGGCCTTGGGTTGGATTAACAGACTTCCGTATCTATTTTATGAAATACAATTAAGTGAAAAATATAAATATACCGCAATGGGTCACCCCCACCAACTTCATTTCCATGCAATAAATGCTTTTCCATTTAAATTGGGCAGTTATTTATGAAAAGCCCCCCATTTGTAAGGGCTGATGCCCTCAAATGATCTTTGATAAAGAAGCCAGGAAAAAATGCAACCATCCTACTACTGAGCTGTTACAAAACCGCAAACGTGAAGTACCCACAAAGGTACGAAATAATTATGAGACTCTACCATGTCTTTTTTGGAAAAAGAGCAACTACTAACTTTGCTAGAGAATATTCACCAATTTTCAGCATGACAGAAGAGCTGCTCGGAATAAAGCCACTTTACTCAGGTGGTGATGGCCACGCAGGTTATTTGCACTTGTTTTGTCTGGTCCCTGCAACACGGAACCTGTGACCTGTACCTTGGGGGGGGGGGTAGGGAGGAGCTTCCAGAATGCAAGGAGAGCTAATAAGTATTTTTATTTTAATGAAGGACACCTAAGGATGCCAGTTACAAAATAAGTCCTAATAGAAAGCTAACCACGTTATGTTTACACTGATCTTAAATGAAAACTTTCCCAATAGGTGCGGTGTTCCAATATACTGATTGGGGAAAAACTTATTTTTTCAAATTAGAATTAGGTCTTCCTTCCTTTCTACCCCAGTCACCCGAAGGCGGTTTTCTTTATATCGCATGAAGGAGACACGATGATTTACGTAATGCCAGGACAACATCTGTCTTTGTACCACAGGAAGCCCTGCCACACCTCGAACGAGTAGCTGTCACCTAACCGGGAAGAACAGTCCCACCTCACCGCAAAACTCTCCTGGTAAGAGAGCTTTCCAAGAGCATCAGCCTTCCTCGACAAAGAAATACCCACCCCCAAATCGCTCTGGTCTAAAGGGCAAAGGTGCTCTGAACCTGTCGGGTGCCATCTCCCCGACCCGCCAAGCCAGAAAGCACTGTGGGTGATGTCAGCCCAGCCCACCCATGGAGGAAGGGGACTGAAGAAAACACACCCAACCAGGCGAACAGGCGCATCTGGCAATCTAGAGGCTGCAGAGAAAGCGGAAACGTGGAGGGCATCTCCCTGCGGACTGCAAAGTGGCGAGGGGCCAGGCAGGGATGCGTGCCCCGAGAGCAGGCGGGATGCGGAGGAACGAGGGAGCCCCAGAGTGGGGGCACCGCCCTTCCCTGGCCAGGATCACTCCCCCACTCCCACCCCCATTCCGGGACCGCGCGGCGAGAGGGGGCCAAGCCCGCCCCGCACCTCCCACCCGCTTCTGCTCCCCCAGGCGGCGAGCCGCACCGCCGCCTCCTACCGGAGCAGAAACTTTGCGTCTCTAATGGAAACCGAGCCGCGCGCCAGCTCCCTCCTCCCCCCCCCCCCCCCCCGCCCCAATTAGCTCGAGCCGAGTGCCTCCCTCGGGAAGGGACCTCCGGGGTACTGAGGATCAAGCACGCCTTCACTGCCGCACTGGGTTGGGGGCTGCAGGGGTGCGAAACATGGGGACATGAGCCCCGGCCACACGGCGGGGCCCCGCCCGGGCGCAGGGCGGCCGGCCCGCCGCTTCCGCCCTCTCCGCCCCCCACCCCTCGCCTTCCTGCCCCCACCCCACCCTTCCCCGGCTCCTTCCTTCCCAACCCACGCCCGCGCCGCGCCCCCCCGGGAGGGAGGAGGAATAGCTGCTGAGCCAGGGCGCCCAGCGGGGTCGTCGGGTGGGGGAGGAGGTGGACGTGGACTGCGCCCCCCCACACCTGGGCCGAAGCAATGTGCGCCACCGGCTAGGTCGGGCCCATTCATTCTCCGCATCCCGCCCGACCCCCCGCCTCTGTGCCTAGGGTGGAGGGCGGCGGGGGGGCCCCCAGAGGAGGGATCGAGTGCCCGGCCCCGCCCGGCTCCCCCGCCCCCCCAGGGCCCCGGCCCAGGCGCAGCGCTGCGGGAAGCCCGGGTGCGGCGCGCTGGATGCAGTGGTGCGGGGCTGGGGGAGGGGGTGGATGCGGAAGGCCCCGGTGCAGCTGCGGCCGGAGCCCCTGCCCGCGGACAGCCCACGGCCAAGTCCAGCTCCAAGAGAGACCAAAATTTAAATAAGAAACCCTGGCCGAGAAAAGCGAAATGCAAATCCAAAATGCGTCCTCCTTAACTGCAGCTGCTGCGTAACACCCGGAAAAGAGGGAGAAAAAAAACTCACACCGAAAAAAAGGGGGGGGCGCTGAACTCAAAATTTGGGAAGAAATGGGCAGACAGCTGCTACGCCGCCGTTTACCACTCCCGACCTACCATGGTGCGAGCGAAGGGAAGAAGAGCAGAGGGAGCGAGGGTGGCTGCACCAGCGCAGGGGCTGTGACGGCGGGGGGTGCCTCCGCTGCTGTCGCTGCTGCTGCTAAGGCGCGATGTGCGCTCAGCGCTGTGCCGCTGCCGCCGCCCTACTGTGAGTAACGGCGCCGCGCCCGCGAGGCTCCCAGCACCACTGCCGAAGTGCGGGGCTGCGCCCGGCGGTATATATACGGCGCTCCGTATCCCTCCGCCACGGCGCTGCCGGCTAGCTCCGAGCGGCGCTGGGAGGGCCGGGCCTAGCCCGGTTGGCCCCGCCCCCGTCGCGCCCCGCCTCCCTCCTCCCTCCTCCCTCACCCCTCCTCCCTCCTTCCTCCTCCCTCCTCCCTCCTCCCTCCTCCCTCCTCCCTCCTCCCTCCTCC